CTGCTTTATAAAAATCTCTTGGTGATAACTTATTTTAAAATGTTTTTATATTGTATTCAGTTGATAAATTAAAAAATTTTTTTTATTTTATTATAATGTACTATAAGCAAAAATACCGTAAAAGAATTTAAAAGAAACATACACCCCACACATACATCACAATATCTCCTCTTATATACGCATATAAATTACATGGACACGGGCTCACAAACTGTCTATGACAAGAAGCATTAATTGTGCTCTTGAATTCCCTTTAAGGATTTTTGTGATGTAAAGTAAGTAATTTAAACTACTTTTAAGTAAAATGTAAAAGAAAAAAAATATGAAACGATAATAAAGATTATAATAATTTGAAGTTGAATTTCGTAGTATGCGAAGAAAAAGAATAGAAATTTTAAACACAAACAGAACAAGAACAGAAAGATTTTTTTTTTCTAATAAAATTTAAGCTCAATTAGTAATTGAGTAAAGTAAGTAAGAAGGAAATGTATGAACGAGTATTAATATTTAAATACCTCAATAAAGAAAATAACAAACAGCTTGAAAGCAATTTTATTGTATATATATATTTTGGCAAAATTATTCAATCTTTTATTTAGTGTAATTGAAGAAAAGCGCAGGAACGCATGGGTGCAAGCTGAGAAGTTATGATATTTTCACCAAATAAATATTGATAATAATTTCAGAGAAAGTACGCATTAACAATTCTCAAAAACCTTGTATATATATATATATGTACATATATGTGTATGCATTCTATAAACAAAAGTTTGGAAAAGCATGTTGCTTTACGGTAGACGCTCTTTGAAATATTTGAAAATCATTTAAGAAAATGATTTTAAAATTCTTGTAAAAAATACATAAATCATCAAAAGACTTGTAACGTGCGCGTATATAAGTGTAGGGGGTTTCTGTCGGTCTATTTTCACCATTGTTCATTGCGGAAGAGCAATAGATCGTGAAATGGCGGAATACCGCTAAAATGTTTTCCTTTTTATAATAATTATTTACTCTAGTAATGAAAATAAAAGGCAAAAATTATAAAGAGAGAGAAAATTTGAAATCTATTTGTGTAATATAAAGAAGGGATATGCTTAATGCAACTGCTTTGTGCTTTACAATAATCCATGCTCGCTAAAGTATTTACAAATTTAGACGTGGAGAGACAGATCAAGGCAAACGTAGGCAAAGATGTGGAGAAAAAAAGTTAGTGTCAAAAAAGCAAAACTTTTAAAATTTATAAAATGCGGTTTCTAATTGTAAAGTCAACTATGACAAGAAATTTTTGATATGCATAAAAAACGAATTGATGGGTGTATCCTTATATACTGTTTCTTTTGCTCAACTTTATTCAGTATGATGTACTAATAGTCAATTGAAGAATAATTCTCCGGGTTTATAAAAGTGCAGGTGAATTTAAATGGAACACTAAAATAAATGAATAAATACACATATATAAAAATGGTTGAAAACTGCACTTTTAAAATCTGTTACCTAAAAGAAAAAAAAAAAGACAGAAGAGAGAAAGAAGATATATAAGAGAACGATATGGAGATTATGTACATAGAAAAAATACATTAAAAACATATAAATATGTGTTCAAAAAAAAAAATAAATAAATAAAATATGGTTATAAAAAAAAGATTTATATGTGTTAAAATTTCTACATTCAACGAAGACATATACATACAAGTAAAAATAGTTTGAAAGCATACACTCTAACAGAAACTTCAAATTACAAGAAAAATACATACGTGTATAAAACAGTTAAAAATAGTATACTTGAAAATTTATATTAAATTAATTATGTAAAAGTAGAATAAAAACGAGTAAAAAAGCTATAAAAATATGGTTTAAAACTGATGGGAATGGTAACTTAAATTAAAAGACATTAAAAGATATTTTGTTCAAAACTGCTTGAATAAAAAGAAAAAAAATATATAAAAATGATATCTTTTTGGATTGGATGGTTACTTGTATGGTGAATATGCAACGTTGCATGGATTCACAAGTCATCAGGGCCGTAAGTATATCTCCATAAAAAAAAAAAAATTGATGTATTAGCCAGGTTAGTGCGGTGACTTCGTGACGGAAGTGTAGGGTGAGTGTGTTTGTAAATGTCTGTGTATTAAACAAATAATAGCTTGATAAGGACTTAACGGGCAGACTAAAGATAAGACAGACAGACAATACCAAGGAGTTAATAGACAGGCAAAAAGGGGACTTACTAACATAGACATAAAGTCACATTTACTCATCATATTCTTTTATTTTTACTTTTTCGCTTTTGTTGTAACTGATATGAACTGTAACCGAGTTTCCTTTTTTGAGCTACCCCTGGCTAAACGGTTCCTTTCATTGCATTCTATGCTCGTATGTCCAGGCACCCAGTGCATCTCGTTGTGCTTACCTAATTCATGCACTCCAACATAAGCTTAAAGGTTATTGTTTGCCTTTTTAGGGCCTTTAGAACAGCTTGACTGCGGGAGTGAATGTAGATTAGCTCTCTCCTGCATTAATTTCTTAAACATATTGATGCACATGCAGAGGATGCATGGTGTTTTGTTTGGAATATTGAGGGAATGTATCCCAGCGGTGTGACCTTTTGAAACCTTGGGCCACATATTCCACCCCAGATTCCGTTATTTTTCAGCTTTAAAACTTCAGAGTAACACTTTTGTGCCATTAGTCAGGCTGTGGACAAGAGTGCGACGCTGGCGAGACTGCAGTCTCTTGAGCATGCCAATGTGGTTTCCCTTGAGCTCGGCTGGTCTATTGGTTTCGCATCTCAAAACGGAATGAGTAAAGTGTGTCTCTAGCAAGTGACGATCAGTTTCCTTTCGATTGCTTATGTCGTCTCGGTTTTTTTTTCTGCAGCGCGCCTCCTCCGTTACTGTGGTCTTCGGCTAAAACTTTTAGGAGACGACTTTTTATGCTTTCGTAATACTGCCTCCAGCTAACCCAGTTGAAGAGCTTGAGTTGAAGATTTGAGATCTGAATTCTCTGATTCCACCACGGTACATGCATTTCGGATTTCTTTGTCTTTGAGGGCAGCATTCTTGATAGGACTCTTGTATGACTGATCGAAGCGCTTGATCTTCAAGTTCAATTTCTTCCCTACTGTTAAGAAAGTGCAGATACATGTTCGCGTTTCCAGCGATGACAACTCAGAAATATTGCCATTTCGCATATTTTGGGTCTCTGTGGCCACTTTTAAACCGTTGCAACTAAAACCTACAATGTGAACGTGTTTGTACACTTATGATGATGACTTAAGCACAAACGGTAAGTCAATAATATGTGATGCAAATAACACCGGTCTCAAGTACCTACCTTGACAAACACTGGACAGAGCCGAATGCTCAACAGATTCAAAGGGGGCCAAAAGTATTTTGAAAGATCTGTTAAGGAGATAGGATTCTCATTTCAGATAGACGTTAAAGATTCTTGCAAGAATGCCGCAAGGTACATCATTGTATGACTTTAGTATAGACGACGGGATAACCTTACTGCCAGGCTTTAGTAGTCTTAGGCTTTGATGAGTTTTGCCACCTGAATTAAAGATATTCGAGATCGCAATTGTGTTTTTAAGTTTATACGAATAGTTACTAACGGAGCCAAAGCAATCCCTTGAAAAGTTAAGCTGAAGGGATTTTGCAGAAAAATTTGAAATTTTGAGTCCATCTAAAAAATCTGATACATTAAGAGAAATGAAAAAGGGAAATTTTGTCCTGTGTCTATTGAAGCTTATGGGTGATTGACGAAGACTAAAAAACAATGTTGTTGCCAATATATGGTGTATTATAGCCGTATCTTTCGACTGGTTCATACCATTTTCCGATATTTTTTGCCAAATCTTTATTTTTGCTGACGAGAGAAGTCTTATCACAGATACTATACGTTCGATCAGACGGACAAACGGGCACGCAATGGCGCATTCCGAACTTAACGCTGCTCAAAAATGTATATACATTCTAAACAAAGGACCATGTCCTCGAACGAGCGCCATTTGGTTGTGGAGCCAAATTCTAAACCACTCATCGGAGGACAAAAAATCAAGTAGATTGATTAAAGACTAAAGAAAAATATTGGTGAACAGTTAGTTTTGTTTTTTAACAGTTTGCTTTAAAGATATGCTTATAAAACTGGAATATTATGGTATTTGCTGAGAGTTCATAAATTTTTCTAATATGCATATATTGCATATAGTTGTCGACAGGTTTACCCTCGTTTTAGACTCAAGATTTTACTGAAAATTGAAACGAAACGTCATACTCTGTCTTATTAGGCATATACAGTCATTGCAACCTTTAAAGGTATGCACTGTCTCATGCAACTTTTAAATGTAAATAAAGCCCTTTGCAGTTTGCATATAATGTCTTTGGGAACTTTAAAGTTATGCAACATATACATATATAAATAGACCATGCAACTTGTTGCAATTTATGTAGCAAGCTCGCCACGACATCGCCAGTTGATATGCCTATGTCGGTTTCATTTCATAATGTTTCTAATACCCTTGTCACTGGTAAGAAAAGTTTGTATATGAAAGTTGGCTTGGCAACACTGCTTACACCCCTAATTATTTTATATTTAACGTATTAGTTTATAAACACATAAACATACAAGATACTGTTAAACTTTAACAAGGTACTGAATAAATGTCATTTATACATTTAGTTACAAAACACTGATGTCGTGAGAGTTGTTTATGGAAATGAACACACATACACATGCAAGTGAAGGTAGCGAAGGAGATTTGGCGTGATTTTATTTCTTTCTGCAAAACATTCATTATTATTAAGCTGAAAAAACGTTAAAACCTACGATATAAAAAAAAAAAAAAAAAAAAAAAAAAAAAAAAAAAA